TGAAAGAAACAAAAAACTGGTGGGCCTCCCTAGTGGCGAAAGCGGTTAAGTGGCAGCACTATGAAGCTATCAGCAGCTACGGCAGCAGGAGTTCGAGTTTGATCCCCAGCCAGGGAGCTACCCACATGGTGCAGCAGACCTCTCCTGTCTCGCCCACTGCTCCCCTCAGCCTGTTCTGTTCCCCACTCTGCCTGTTCAGTCAGTCTGCCTGTTCTGTTCCCCACTCTGTTCTGGTAAATCCTCTTAATCCCCCGCCCCACACCTCTGGCTTGTATCCTAGTTCTTGTATGCAAAAATAAATAAATCTTAAAAAAGAAATGGGGCCTCCCCTGGTGGCGCAGCATGGAGAGCTGGGATACAAAGCTTCCAGCAGCCTCTGCAGCTATGGTTTGATCCCCTGGCAACAGAGAGGGTCCCACATGGCGCACAGACCTCTCCTGCCATGCCCACTGCTCCCCTCAGCATTTCATCAGTCTGCCTGTTCTGTTCCCCGCTCTGGCTCTGGTGAATTCTCTCACCCTCTCGCACTTCTGACTATACCCAGTGCTTGTATAAATAAATAAATAAATCTTAAAAAAGAAAAAAGAAAAAAAAACGGGAAACTGTTCATAAATGTATTTGATGAGATGCAAACTACAACCAGCACTGGTAATGAAAACATTTACATGCCCTCTAACCCAGGGCTTCCACTTTTAAATGTATACCTGGAGCCACTTAGTAGGGCTAGAGAAATCGTAAGTAGTAATAAGTAACATGGAAGCTATCCATTGCAAAAATAGTTTAAATAGAAAAAAAATAAAAGGGCAACATAGTTCATCAAAAAGAGGGAAATGGATAAACTAATATAGTCATAAATGGAAATTACTGACCAGTTAAAATAAAGAACCAGAGAAACAACTAAAACCAAAAAATCAATGACCTGACCACAAAAAGCTCATCATGTTTAATAATTTAAGAGTTGCAAAAAAATAAATGAAGCACAGCAATTATATAAAATTTATTTAAAAACAGGCAATATATACCACAGATGCAAACATGTAGTGAGAAGTATGGTAATACCAGGCCTCCCCAGTGGTACAGCAAGTTGAACGCGGCGCTGTGAAGCTGTGCGCAGCCTCTGCAGTGTGGGTTCGATCCTGGCCGGCCAGCGAGGATCCCACATGGTGCTGCAGACCTCTCCTGTCTCGCCTGCTGCTCCCCTCAGCAGTGTCTTTCAGTCAGTCTGCCTGTTCTGCTCCCCGCTCTGTATCTGGTGGATCCTCTCACCCTCCCGTGCCTCTGGCCTGTACCCCAACTCTTGTATAAAGCTAAATATCTCTTTAAAAAAAAAAAAAGCATGGTAATAGCAATGAGAATGAAATAATATCAAGTGACTATGACTATCTTGAACTATATCTGAACTCAGTGCTTCTGGAAAGCGGTGATGGTTAAGAACTCCACCCCAGGGGCCTTCCTGGTGGTGCAGGGATTAAAGTCTCATGGCTAGCAAGCTATGGCCAGCCATGGTGGCATGGCATGAGTTCAATCCCTGGCCAGGGAGCTAACCCACATGGCACAGCAGATCTTTCTCCTGTCTCACCTGCTGCTCCCCTCAGCAGCGTATCTCAGTAGATCCACCTGTTCTGCTCTCCACTCTGTCCCTAGTGAATCCTCTCATTCCCTACAGCTCTGGCCTGTACTCCAGTTCTTGTATGCATAAGTAAATAAAGCTTAAAAAAAGAAAAAAAGAAATCCACCCCATATTTTGCTCTGAGAAACAAGTAATAAAAGGATCCGATCTTTGCTTATTTCCAGATAAAACCCACCCCATGCTTCCTCAAGGCTCCCATGGTTTATCTGCCCAGATCTCTGACCATTTTTGTTTGTTTTTAGCTATGCATTATTAATTAATGTTCTCCCAATTGCAACTGCCCGAAAAAAAATCATCTCCTTAACTGGCCAGTATATTACATCTTTGACATGGAGTAGCTAATCTCTGGGGAAGGAAGAGAATGGGATAAAGAGGAAAAATGCCTATTTAGCTGTGATGATAACATAAAAACCTGAAATATGGCAAAAAGTATACCCTCTCTTATTTGTACAAAGGGATCTTTGTACTTTTACAAAGTTATTCTGTGTACTTCCCTGCTTAAAATGCTTCTGAATTAGTTTTTACATTATTTAAAAACGATGTAGAGTCAGAAAAGTTCACAAATCAATCCTTTCTGTTTTCATTTGTTAAATGAAATGAAAGGTACATCCATACATATTCAACCTATTCCACTATATTTTTTTTATGATTTATTTATTTATTTATACAAGTACTGGGTACAGTCGGAAGCGCGGGAGGGTGAAAGAATTAACCAGAGCCAGAGCGGGGAGCAGAACAGGCAGACAGACAACGGAGGACACTGCTGAGGGGAGCAGTGGGCTCGGCAGGAGAGGTCTACACGCCATGTGGGACCCTCGCCAGCAGCCAGGGATAGAACCGGCGCTGCAGATGCTGTGGGCAGCTTCGCAGCCCAGCACTCAACTGCTGCGCCACAAGTGAGGCCCACCACTAGGTTGTTTTAAGGGTATTTGCTAATCATCAAGTGGTAAAATGTTTATAATTCATTAGAGCACGGTTCTGATTAGGGTAAGGTTAAGGATTAGATTATATAGACCCCTACTGCTTCAAGGGAAAGATTACCCTCAGAAAGCCATACGACTATGCTGCAAATGCAGATAATGTTGGTTACAAGACAAGAAGGGCAAATCTATGTGATGTCTCCATTCATACCCAGCAGAAAGAACTACTGAGCAGTAGAAACTTGATGGTGGGCTGGTAAATAATCTTTGTATAAGGGAGTTTGCATATTCAGTACATATACTCCAATGTTTTATTTAGCATATATAGATGTGTCTCCTGTGGTGGGTAGACTTTTTGGTGGTGTTTTGGGAGGAGTACTGGAGGCACTGTAAAGTGAGACTTTGAAAATATGAAATTTCATCTTAAAAGAACCCAGGATGAGCTTCTGAATTAGTTCCAAATTGCCTAGCTCCAGGTGCTTTTAGAACACTGGTGAGTACCAGGAAATGATTTTGCTAATGTAGAACAAACCCAACCACTGTTAAAATTTAATTTAAAAAAAAAAAAAAACACCTTAAAAAAAAAACACATGAAAACTTAGAAACTTGGAACCAAGCATCTAACCAACAGATGTAAACAGTTTCAAATACAGAGGTAATGTGCTAGAATCTGGAATAATAAAGGAACTCTCCATCTTCAAAATTTTCTTTAGCTAAACTGAATGGCCATGCTCTGTACTCAGGTTACATACAAGAGTAACCTTTAAAAAACAGTCAGTCTATATTCTGAACTTTCTTTGCAAGCATCCAAACAACAGCAGCTTGTAAGGTCATCTTGACCTCTCTAAACCCTGCAATTTTGAAATGTTTTTGGAATCTGCCCATCTTGATCTTTACTTCTTTTTCTCCGAAGAACCAGTAAATAAAAGACTGTTTAATTTTAATGTATAGAATCTAAAATCTAACTAAACATTTAACTTAAGCACTTAACTAAAGTTAAAATGTTTGGCCCTATTTTCAAACTGAAAGGTGGTTTTATGACAACTCAAAAAAAAATACAAGGTCAAATCAGAAAAACTTTAACAGGCTCCAGCCCACTTCAAAGCACTTAAACGTATGCGAACTCAAAACCCTTAGTTTTGAGTCTAAGGTATTGTATACATTTATAATCAAAGATTATAAAACATCTGAAGATGTTGATCCTTTTTGTAGCTTACAAAATTAAACCAAAAACTGAACATTAAATTCCTACTACATATCCTCCGTCATCAAGAAATCACTAATTAACCTCTTTCCTTCAACTAATGAGCCTGTCTGATAATCACGAAAGTTGCAAAACCATAAGAAAACCATAATTGTTATTCAGTGAAAACATTTTGTATGCAGATAAGCTGGTACCAACTGCTTCTAGGCAGACCGATGCAACAACAGTGTAATATTTCCAGCAAAGCCTGCTAAGTCTTTGCCTGCAAATCATTGACCAAAAATGGTAATAGCGTGTGCAGATTAAAGAAAACGACAAAATGTTCTACTTGGCCTTCGGGTTAAGAATACTGTTTCTTAGCAAACTAGAGCGTTAGTGTAGAGGGGGAAAAAAATGTAGATTAAGCAAAGTGTCCCTCGCCTAATATATACTGAGTGTTTACTTTTTACTGACTTGGAAAATTTCACGGACTTTAAAAGGCTTTTTCGTTTGTTTTTATTAGCATCCCATCATTATGCCCACATCTTGAGCGCTTAAGTTCTCCGTTAAGAGTTAATTTACAGGTAAAAGAAAATGTCTAACCATACATGGGGTGACCGGGCAGGGGGAGGGTTAAAAGGCACAGTGCCAAGCTTGACAAGCTCGACCAGAGTGCTGCTGGAAGCTGACTGCCAGACATGACAAACAAAGCGGCTGCAAGGCCATCCTGTTCTTAATCATGCCAGGGTCATGCTCGCAGCGCCCATTCCGCCCTCTCTGGCCGTTCAATTAAGGCCTTATTTCCCGCATGAAGGTGGACAGACTTCGCCCGCCGAAACTCGCACGAGTCACAAACCGCCTGAGCGCCCGGCCCCGGGTAAACCAGCGCCAACAAGCCCGCCAGGGACTCTAGGGGCTCCGACACCCCCCACGCCGGGCAGGCGCGCCCCTGGACCCCCTGCACCGAGGCGCAGGGTGCTCGAGCCCGGCTGGCCGCACGAGGCCCGGCCTGGAGCAACCACAAAGGCGAGGCTCCAGGGCGGCGGCTTCATAAAAGCTGCCAGCGACAAGCGGCGGGGGAGCCGCCCAGGGCGCCCGGGGAGTCCGCGGACGGCGGGAGCCCGCAGACTCTGCCCCGCCGGGAGACTGCGGCAGGGTCCGGGTCGGTCCCCCGGCCGAGGCGCCGCGCTCGCTCCTCAGCCCCGACCCCCGCGGGCCCCAGAGCCCCGGAAGCGGCGGCCCGGGCCTCAGGCGTCTTCCCACTCACCATCTTCGCCGCGGCGGTCGCAGGGACGCGGGAGCGGGAGCCGGTCGGCGCCGAGTCTGCGGAGCGTCCTCACTGCAGCGAGCGACCTGGCGAGGAGGCGACGCAAGGCGCGAGCCTACCCAGACGGGCACGCGGGCGCGCGCCGCGGGCGCAACGCGATTGCGTACGTCACGCGCTGCCCGCCGTTGCTGCGCAACCGGCCGGCCTGGCAACGCCCCGGCCGGGCGGCCCTTCGGGCTCCGGGGAAGCAAGGGCGGGGTGAGGGGCTTCTTCACCTGAGGAGACTGGCACACGGGGTGGCCCCCTCACCAGTTCGCGTCCCCACGGCTCGGGGTGGGCCCTTCCTCCACAGCTAGGGGCGAGGAGGCGGGGCCTGAGCCCGCACCTGCGGCGAGGGGCGGGCCGGAGATGCTGCCAGACCCCCAGAGGGGCGGGGCCACGTGTCGCCACGCCCACTTCGCCTTCGTTGCCCTTACTAGGAAGTAGCCACCTGGCCAGGTGTGCGCCGGGACCAGGGAGGCGGGACCAGGGAGGGGGGAGGGAGAGAGGAGGTGGGCGGAGCCACAGAGGGGCAGCCGGGCGGGTGGACCTGCGGGAGGGAGGACCCGCGGGAGCCGACGCGACGGCCGCCGCGCAGGGGACATAGCCTGCATTTTTTACCTACTTTGGTGCGATTCCCGCCATCCTCCCCTGATTGGCCCAGCCAAACCGGTCGGGCCATCTCGTGAAAGGAAAATTCTGCACATTTTCCCTCCTTTCCAAGGAGGCTGTGGCTGTCCAGAGTGCTCTGTGAGTCACCGCTAATTTCAGGTCTGGAAATAACAAGGAGTGATTTATTTATCTTTGGGAACAGCCCGGGGAAGGAGGCCCTGCATGCTGTCCGCAGGGGTGTGGCTGGGAAACGGCCGAGTCGTTTGGGATGATGGCGCCAGCCCCGCTGCTCCGTTTGGGAGGGTTTTAATTTGGGATTGTGTGCTTTTTAATGGGCGGTTGCATCATAAACACAGTTTTCAGAGGGCCAGAAGGAATCCCAACGTTTATCCTGGGGATATTTTTGTGGGGAATAAAGGGTACAGAAAGAATTTACAACTGGATAATTACTCAGCTTTATTTCAAGTTTTACTTAATTTAGTCTTTTGAGAATATCACTGCCTCTACCAAAACTATTTAAATACCCCAATGTGAGGCTTTGGGGCTAGATGGTCAGTGTGTTCCTTGTTTTCTTTAGGCACCCTATAAAATCTAGGTTTTTAGCTAGGCTTTTGTTCTACCCACTCAACATGAAAATTCATTTTTTACTCTTATCCTGTTTTTTTTTTTTCATTTTGTCGTTAAGAAAAACAGCAAAAAAGGCTACTATAAGCCTTTACCACCTGCTACAGCATTTTTAGCAGGCTAGAATAGTGGTTATCAACTTAAAGAGAACTTGTTCTCAATTCAGATTTGTGTGCCCTGCTCTCAGACTTTCAGGCTGAGTTTATCTGGGGTAAGACCTGAGAATTTGCATTTCTAACAATTCCCAGGTGATACTAATGCATCTGGCTGAACACAACCCTTTAAAGAACCTACCTGTAGTATCCCACTGCAGCTGGAAGTCTTTGTTTCTGCCTGCCTGGAGCTCAGTGCCCCCCTCCAACTTTTTAAGTCCTCAAAGACTTCCTTTATAGTCCAAAATTGAATCATGCTCATTTAAGGAACACAAGTGGACCTGCTCCAGCCTCTCTGCTGCTTTTCATCCTCAGCTCTACTACCAGTTATGTCCAAACATTAGAATCTGATCCTGTCACTTTCCTTCTTTATATGACTTCCTCGGTATTGTCAGCCAGTCAGCTTGGCCCTTCTGCCTCTGTCCTCAGCCTGCCTTTTCTGCCGCATTGCCCACATCTTTCCAGTTTCTTTCAGGACTAGATTTCTCATTCCAGAACTCTTGTGCTTTCTAACGGCCATAATCATGGTCCTATTCACAGTTTCCAAAACCCTTGGAATTTTCTGAACCATTGGAGCAATGGGAACATTTTTTTTGTCCGAGTTTCCTCTAACCGTGGAATTTCCTGAGTGGTAATATAAGGGGCCCTGAGACATGCTGCCACTTTTGTCCCAGGACTTGCAACTGGCATCTGAAATGGAGGATGATCTTGGGAAAGTGAGCCCCTAAGCTATGCAATCTGATGCCATATGCGGGAAGACAGTATCAGAATTGAGTCAAATTCTCTAGTATCTGCAGGTGTGAGGATGCATCTACATACATTACACTTGGGTGCAGGAACCCTATACACTGACCTGTATGATTTTCCTTTTTTTATAAAGAACTTTCTTTTTTGCCCAAAGATTGATTGATTTATGCATACAAGAACTGGGGTACAGACCAGAGATGCAGGGGAGGGGGGTGAGAGGATCCACCAGAGACAGAGTGGGGAACAGAACAGGCAGATTAACTGAAATACACTGCTGAGGGGAGCAGCGGGCAAGACAGGAGAGGTCTGCCTTGCCATGTGGGTTTCTCTCTGGCCAGCTAGGGATCGAACTCGTGCTGCAGAGGCTGTGGATTGCTTCATAGTGTGCGGTGCTTAACCCCTTGCGCCACTGGGAGGCCCAACAAATTCTTCCAATTTTTGTTTTCTTTATTTACCCTTCACTTTTGAAAGACTATTTTGCAGAGCACAGAATTCAAGGTTGGTGGGGGGTTTTCTCAGCACTTCAAATATTTCCCTCCACTCTCTTCTTGTTTTCATGGTTTCTAAGGAAAAATCAGGTGAAATTCTTATCTTTGTTCCTCTGTAGGTAGTTATTTTTTTTTCCTTAGTTTTTTATAGTTTGTCTTTTTTTGGGGGGGGAGGGTCAGGGGTGTCATTCAATCTGCTTGATGTTGTCTGAGCTTTCCAGATCTATGATTTGCAGAATTTCTGAGTCACCATTACTTTAAATATTGTTCCTTTCTCTTTTTTTCTGGTATTCCTATGATGTATATGTTATACCTTCTGTAGTTGTCAAACATTCCTTAAATTTTCTGAGATTTTCTTTTTCCAGACTTTGTTCTTTGTGCTTTTTTAGTTTAGTTTTTTTTGTTTTTCCTTTAAAGATCTATTTATGCACACAAGAACTGGGGTACAGGCCAGAGGCATGGGGGTGGGGGGTTGGTGACAGGACTCACCAGAGACAGAGTGGGAAAGAGAACAGGCAGATCGACCTGAACACACTGCTGAGGGGAGCAGTGGGGGTGAGTCAGGAGAGGTCTGCTGCGCCATGTGGGCAGCTCCCTGGCAGTGGATCGAACTCATGCTGCAGTGGCTGCGGATTGCTTCATAGGTTGTGTCCCAACCCCCCATGCCACCAGGGAAGCCCAGTGTGCGCTCTTTAGTTTTGAAGATTAACATCCTTTAGCTCAGAGATTGTTTCCTCAGTCATGTCCAGTCTACTGATACGCCCATCTAAGGCAACCTTTATTTCTAAGGACTTTTTGCCTTTTGTTATACCTTATATTTTCCTTGACAGCGCTGCATGATGTTCTATGTGGTAAAGAGGTCTTTGTAATAGGATTGTGAGGTGTCAAGGGAGGGAAGTGTTCCATTGTCTTATGATTTCATCTGTCTTTTCCTGAGCCTTTATCTCTATACTATGAACTATACAAGAGTTTCTCAGGTTTTTTTTTTCCTCCTCTGAGGTGGGATAGAGTGGGCTGGCATTGGGTATTTTCCATCTCCAGGTCAGTTAGGCTCTGATAATATCCCAGCAGGTTAGGCTCCAGTTAACTAGTTTCCCCCTGAGGGCTGGCCTGGTTAAGAACAGAATACTGTGGTGTGTGTCAAAATGATTCCTTCCTTCCTCCCCCACCTGCACTGGAAGTAGACATTTTTTTCCTCCCATATTTACTGTGATAACCTGGTAAGAATTTCAGGAGATAAACCAGAAGCCTGGAGGTTCCCCAATGACTGGGTCACCTGGGGTTTTTTATTCTCAGAGTTGCCCACAATTTATTATTACAATTCAGATTTTCCTAATCTGACACTGGTTCCCATGACAGTTTCTGCTCATAGGTCTCTGCTCTGGCAAGTTGCAACTCCCCATATTCACCTATCTGTCTCCAGTTTTGGGGACAGCTGTTTGCTGTGTCCTTTCATCTCTTATGGATCCAAGAAGAGTTGTCTGTCCAGCTTTATGCTGCTTGTTTGGACAAAATGGCAACTTCCAAGCTTCATACATCTGGAACTGGAAGTCAAATGTTCACTCCTTTCTCTTTAAAAGAAACTTCCAAGAGTACAGACAGAGCTTCTACCTTATCTCACTGATGAGAATGAGCCCTTGGGGCTGCCTGAAATATGGGGTCTGGGAAATGTGGTTTGTTCTCTGACCAGTAGTGGTCTAAGCTAAGAAATTGGGGTTCCTTTACCAAGGAACAAGGGGAAATGGATATTGGGAGATAACTATCAATAGTAATGACTGACTATAGGTAGATATTATTACTAGGTTTCATTCTACAGATGAATAAGCTCATGATCTTTACCACCACGCACATGATACATCATTCATGGGTGTTGCTGAACACAAGAACCAAGATGTCTTTTGTTCCTTTCTTAATACCACAGAGGAGTTTATACAAAATGAAGTAAATGGAAGAGGCCAAATACATTCCTTTACCATAGGCTTGTCTTAATATATCATGCAGCCCCAAGGGCTCAGGCATCTATTTTAGGAAAGAGCTAAATATATATTTAAGTACCTTCATGGAATGACGCATACCACATCTTAACACTATTGATATCTCTGTTAGTCCTTGTGGTAGAGTAGAAGTCATAGACAGCTTGCTATTTTATAGCGTTAAAAAGTGACCAAATATCTTACATGTTTTTCAGGTAACTGTTTTTGAGTTAAAAGAAGATGGAGAAGAAATTGGTACGATGGTTATTCACCCCTCCTGGATCCTATATTTCCTTTAAGGTTCTAATGAAACGTGTTGACCCTCTCTAGAAAAGCAGATGTTGGCTTCTATTCAGAAAGCTTCACCTACATTTTCAGGGAGCTCAAGGACTTCCCTGAAGCCTATCTATAAACTAGATGTTTCAGGAAAGGCTTTGGAAAATGTTCTAAAAAGGAAACTCATGGAAAAGATGAGAGAC